AAGTGTCTGGTAACCTAAATCAACACATCAGTGATAATTTGAAGCTTTGAGTGTAGTATAGATAGATATAGATATAGATATAGATATGTATAAAAGGAACCTGAAGCATTATTGAAGTGATACGGTGATAGTAGTCTTTGTGGTGGGGCCGACCATGCTTTCCTTTTTGAATGGGCCCAGATTTATGATTCATAATAACTTGTAGTTTATGCATCAAAGGTAAAGGGGTATTTTGGGTATTTATAAATTTAAGACTTTAAGACTTTGGATGAAAATGCTTAATAAAGTAGTATAGATATTTTTTTAATCCTGTATACGCTCGACATCCATCCATACGAACACTAAGATGAAGTTTCAAAAGTATTGCTAATCATTCCATGTGTATTCAAAGAGAAAGATGTCAAGTATCATATGCTATGGCTCTGCTTCGATTATTGGAAAATGTCTATTAATATTTTTCACGTCATTTTTAGTTTACCGGTTATCTGAAGTACAGGTAAACCAGGTACTTAAAAGTATAAGATTTTACATCTCAGGTACCAAAATGAAAGTTTTGAAAGTTAATTAAAGTACGTTACTTTGTCTTGCAATTTACCGTTTTAAATATTCTTTAAATTTGGAGATTTTTACTCTTTCTATTTTCTTCATTTTTGGAGAAACTTTTGGTCGTTCTGATAGAGAAAAAAACTCTAAAATCTCATTTTTTTCTTCAGAATCTATTAGAGATATTCTTATAAGTTAGTTTAAAAATTGTCAAATATGATGGTTTTATTTGTTAAGTTTATATTTTGAGTTGTGAAAGTTATACCGGTAGTTTGATATTTTATGATTTATAAAGCTGTTTTTGTAATAAATGTATAGGAGTAACTTCATATGACCCGCCATCTCCAATGACACCTACTATGTTAGAATGTATTTAAACCATTTGTCTTTGAAGCATTTCTGACCATAGTTTTGCCACCGATCTTATAATTGACAACATTTAAGAATATAGCAATCAACATTAAACTGATTAAACACTTAATGTCAATCATTTAGTGTTGATACGGTGGATAAAATTTGGAGTATAAAAAACGACCTAGCTTTATTCATTGTGACTATACTTGATTTAATCATAAGGTTATGATAGAAGGGTAGGCCTATTTTCTTGAAGTAAGCGTTGTATACTTAAGAGTTGTTTGCTTGGTTTTTCATTAAATCATGCATGGATAAAACAGAGTGTGTGGACTTATTGGATTGTGTAAATAGAGAGATTTTTGTTTGCAGGAGTTTCTTATAGAGGGAAAAAGTACGATTTTTAATTGAGAGGGACATGTTGGAAAATACTTGGCTTTCTGTATAACCCCCTAAACTTTACCAAATAAGCTACTTTATATATCATTAAGCTACTACCAAACGACAGAGCTGGTCTCGA